TTTAAATATGCTTATCACTGTGCAATGATATTGAAATACGTCTATTTTATTCCACGAAGGAATCTTTCGTTCTCATTGAAACAGTTAACAAATTTAAAGGAATATCAGGAAAAACGTATTGTCGGGTAACATTTTAATGCATTTTTGTTCAATTAAAAACTTTTTAAATTCAAATTTTAAGATATGATTGAAAGCTTAAGATTAATGAATAAATACTGAAAACTTCTCTAAAATTTTATTATGCAGTTAAAAATGACGAACAATTATTCAAACTTTGTGAGTACGTAGCGTTTTATAATTATTCAATTGAAAGGATGCTAGTCAAAATTCAACGAGAAGACAACAAACTTTTTCTGTTGCTAAGTTCTATCTTGTAGAAGAAAATTGAGATTGTTATTTGATGGTTGGATTATGACTGATTTAATACTTTTAATGATTTATTATTTACTGAACGAAATCCATTTTATTTAGACAGTTATCCTCCATCTAATAATGTCTATTTTCTAATTTAGAATATTTCTTGTAGCAACATTTTAATGTTAATGTTACAATAATAATAATTTTATGTTATGCTCTTTTCAGGTATACTGCTGAGGAGATGTTTAATATTGCGGCAAATGTATCTGAATATCCCGAATTTGTACCGTGGTGTCAAGGTGCCAGTGTTAAAGTATTTTTTTTATTTCTAATTTTAATATAGCAGGCTTTCAAAAATAGTAACAAGCTTCAAAAAATTATATTGAATGAGGTGAGAAACGTTCATTCATTATATGTATTTATGGCTTACGTTACAGTTTGTTTTGCAATATTAATGATTTACTTAATTTTCTTGTTGTTTCAATGGTTAATGTATTTACAGAAACATTCACCAAATTTGTTCACTGCTCGGCTTCAGATTGGTTTTCCACCTGTTTGTGAAACGTATACATCTCGAGTTTCGATCGTAAAGCCAACTATGGTCCGAGTAAGTTATTGATTGAATTCTGAATGTTCTGGATATATTCGTCACCTAATCCTATTTAATTGTGTTAGTACTTTGATAAGAGATTATATGATATGAATATTGTGTTATTTACACAATATTCATATTATACAATCTCTTATCAATTTTTTTTAAGACTGTTCTATGAAGAAATTGATTGATCAGCAACAGTAACTTAAATATCATTAAAAGTTGTATTTTCCAAATTTAAATTAGCAAACATTCATGTTATGATGATTTGTCCTGGAAAACTGTAATATCTTTCAGTCTGTATGTACCGATAAAACACTATTCAAAACACTGGAATCGACATGGCAATTCAGTGCAAGTCAAGCTAATAATACTCGTTCTTGTACTCTGATCTTTAGCCTTGCTTTTGAATTTCACTCAGTATTTCATACCTTTCTTGCACATCACTTTTTTGATCATGTTGTAGAAAGTATGGTTGTTGCATTCTTAAAAAGAGCTGAAACCAAATATGGTCCACCATCCTTTGATCATTACAAAAACTTTAAGGTTCTAAAAAAAGTTCGATAATTAATGATTTAAAAGTTCAAAATTTTTGCATTAGTAAGTATTATTGTAATAAAGAAGATAAACATCACTCTTCTAATCAATCTTCTGTATTTTATTTTTGGCGAAAAATTTTTTTTTTAATAATATTATTTTGTAATTTTTTGTTACCATTAGAACAATATAATCGGTGCAAAATGAATCTCTGGCTTCTGGCTATTGAGATTATGGATTAAAAGGAAATCATATGTGTTTTTAACACACACTGATTTCCTTTTAATCCATAATCTCAATAGCCAGAATTACAAATAGGAAATGAGAGACTAATGATAAGCAGGAAAAGAAAAATAAGAAGGACAGAAAGAAGAAAGGATAAAAAGTGTAAAAAAAAAGGTTAAAAAATTGTATAACTAAGGATGAGAAAATAGGAAGCACTGATGAAGTGTATTAAAGAGAAAGCAATTAAATAATCAATGAGACAGATATATTACTTATCGTCACATTACATCAATAATCCTCTTCAATATCAAAAGTTGTCAATGAGAATTGATTTTTTTTTTTTTTTTTAAATTTTCATGATATTTGTTCTAGGCATACATATTGTTGTGTATAATTGCTTAAATGTTGTTGTACACGTATAGTTAATGTATTTTTATTACGAATTTTTATGTTTATTGAATGTATTGATAGGAATAATAGGCAAGTGAATTCGATAAAATGTTTTGCTAATTGATAATGCCTAGATATCTTTTCAAAAAAAAAAAAAAAATAGGGAAAAAAAAAAAGTTATGCAAGCACTTAAAAGAAATGATAGATGGATTTAATGAAAAATTTCGCTAAATAAATAATAAAGCAAACGTAATTTTGTTCACTTAGCGCGTAATTTGGAATCTGACAAGCAACTATCCCCATAATGTGTGCAATGATTTTATCTTCAAAACTATTGGATGGTAAGGTGTCAACAGATATTTAAGATGAATTTTGTGAAATTTTTATTTATTCAAATTCAGATTGAGTCTTCGGGTTGCTCTAATTAATGTACGAAGAGATCGATGAGTTAAGAAAAACCGTTTTATTCAGTGCATTAAAGATAGGATACAGTGCAAATACTAAACCATGCAAAAGCAGTGAATCATATAAATTGTAAAACTTTTGAGAAATAAGCATCCAATCTAATCGAATTTCTTTCAAATTCATTTCATATACAAGATTTTCGAATCAATTCCTAACAGAAAAGTTTTTGGAAGAAAAATACAAAATATTTTCGAGGATATCTGTTTTAACTCTTTAATACAAGCTATGAAAATAAAGTTTAAATTGATATGAATCGATCCGAAAGAATTTTTTGAATTTTTATGATAAATAACTTCCATCTTTTGGAGAATTTTTTGCGGATATTAAGGAATCGGTCATCTCTTGTGTCTGTGATGGATCACTGGAACTTAATGGTAGATCAGATGTCCCTGCAAACAGTTCCAAATGTATGAGTGCATTTCGTGAAGCATAATCTTTTGCATCCTGTTCCGTTGCTCCAAATCCATAAAAGGCATTTTTCGTATCAGTAGGACTATCAATTGATAGCATACATTGAAAGTTACCTAAAATAATTATGAAATATGATAATTTTTATGAATATTTGATTTCTTTTTTTACGCTCAACCATTATATCATTTGTTTCAAATACTTCATAATTTTTATCTATGTTTTTATGATAAAGTTAAAGGAGATATACCATCCAAGTCTCGTTCAAGAAATATGAATTTCAGCTCTTTATTCGGAAAAATTTTGCTGATATTTTCGTCACCCGATTTAACCAATTCAGTCAACTTTTCTGTGAGACCTTCTGTACCAAAATCATCTCGAAATGCAGAACGAACTTTATGCAACAATCCTGGATTCAACACTGTTTGTGCTGGTGCATCGGGAGTATTCTGAAAGAAGCTACATTCTTAATAATCATAAAAGAATAAATATATTTAAAAAATGATGCTCATAGAATTATTTCAGATTTTTTTCAATTTCAACTTCAAATACGTACCGTACTTTCGTTTGTTGTAGATTCACTATTGCTTGCAGCTTCTTGACCTGAGGCAGCAGCAAGCGTTGCATTTTCAACATCATCTGTCAATTCTTTCCAATTTTCTAGTTGAGCACACATTTTTTGAGCTGCTAGTGTTTTTGCTATCTGTATAATAAATTCCATGAATACAAAAAAGATTTGACACAAATGCTTTCAAATTAGCTAATCTTTTTCAGCTGAGATATCAATTGGAGGACAAAACAAGTTCATAATCACGAAAAAAAATGAAAGAGAAAAGTAAAGCTAAGACAGAGTAGAAACATGGGAAATCATCGAGTAGGTAGAATGATAAAATGACTTTGCTATATTAATGATTTACCTTTTTCGTTTTTCCATGTGCCACTACATGAACAATTCCTATTTTGCACGTAGCAATGAAAATTCGCTGATTTGGAGGTCCCTCTTCGTCAATTTCATATATAGGATTTGACAATTTCAGTTTCTGACATCTAAATAGAACGAAATTAAGAATTTTATAATTGCTTATTGAATTTAAATAAAAAAATCTGAACGTTAAGTTATAAATCAATTATCTACCAGGTACATACGACAGAAAATGACCTAATGTCATGTATATCAGGTAAGGTTTTGTAACAATTCAAACCTTTCATTTACTTTTCCTACCCAATTCTCTGCAACAGAATCATCACCATTTCCTCGATTTTGAAAATCAATCGTCATACTCTCTCTGAAAAATAAATAGAGTTCTTGCAATTCTCATAATTTTTTAGCATAAAGCAAAAAAATTTTATGCAGCGTCCAGAGTTAAATACACTGTTCCGGATGTTTTGAAATACTAGTCTATTTCGTTTTCCAAACAAGTACAGTACATTTCGAACAGTGATTGATTAAAAGTAAAAAAATCAGCCAAGTTTATAAGATATATAGTGGAAAAATAATGAGAAACATATAAATCACTATCATTATTTATTACTGATCATTATTTACGTATGCCACCGTATAATGGATGAAGTTTAGAAATCCTGTAGATCCGATCGCAAAAAGTTACTTCTTACTTTACTAATATACTAAGATAATGCTATACATTCCTCTAATTTATAACCTAAAAAAGATCATATGTATTTAGCTGGAAATTTTACATGTTAACAAATTCAGTTGTACCGCTTATGCAATATCACAAAGCTCTCATTTCAATAACTGAATGATTACACCAGATACTTTTATCATGCAGTGATTGATAAGATAAAGGTATGACAATCCAAATTTTATATTCCTTTTGCAATTGTGCAACTGCAATTACTATGATGTTTGCAAAAAATCTGGATGTGGAAAAAAGTACATATAACTCACAAGCAAGCCAATGCTTCTTCTTTTGTTTTGCCGAGCCCAAAATCACTGAATGATTCCTTCTCAATCATCTGAAATAAATCTAATAATTATGCAAATAGATCAGTTTCATTTGTTGAAAAAAAACAAAATAAAAAAGAAACTTTTTTTAACATTTCTTTTGCAGCCATCTGTTTTGCAATTTTCTTCGTTCTTCCATAACCTACTGTATGGATACCATATAATTCACATTGCACCGCAAATGAATTATTCTGAAATAATAAACTCATATCCAATTAATTCAATGTTAAAGGATCTGCTATATTAGAGTTAGAAGGAAATACTATGTCTAAATTTAAATAATTTTAAACTGCGAACAGCTTTAAAATATTGTGAAAAATCAGATCCGTTCTCTCTTTTCGTAACATATAGATGATATTAACAGTCTCAACATCTCTCGAGTACCTGTACATTCTGAATGAAACATTTTTAGCATTATTAGTAATGCATATAAGTCAAAAATAAAAATTTTACTTAAGTGAAAAGCATATTGCTAACCGTTTCCACGAGATTAGGTGTAAAAATAGGTGCTGTTCCATCGTAGTACTTTTTACATCCCTCTTCCAGAACACTGACAAATGTTTTTACCGGAGAAACTGATGTTCCGGTAGATGAAGCTGATGATCCTCCACTTGAATGCGTTTCCATCACTTGCTTACGATCCCTATCTATCACTTCTAATTTTTCTATCTTTTCAATTTCCTTGGTATTCTTGGAATTTCTATTGCCAGTAAAACTGTCGAAATCCACAACTATTGGCTAAAATAAAAAACTATGTATTCAATTTCCATTACTTATCCATTTCAATATAATGCTAAAATAACTTTTTCAACAAATTTTAACTCACTGATAAATTGTCAAAAGTAATGGATAAATAATTACAATACTTTGAAAACATTTTCATTCCACTGATAAACTATTACGAATAACTGTCGGCTAACTAAAACTTAATTTTTTTTTCTTTGAATAAATAAAATGATTTAAAGATTGTTCACGGATTAATACAACCAAATAATTTGCTCTCTCCACCGAATATCCATCAACTATCCTATCTTAACTAATCTAATCCTATTCTATTATTACCTATTCCTATCATCTCAAAAGTTTTATCCGATCAAACTTTTCGATCTATTTACTGCAATTTTGCCCATTCCTTCCTATCCTATCAACTCTTATTATTCATTCCTAGCCCACCAAAATTTACAGTACTTTCGAAATACTCGAATATGCTACAACAGTTTGCAGGCTACATTAATAAATAAACCGGACGGAAGACAAGTTCAAGTTTCCGGTATAATCCTGAATATTAATTGGTATTTTATAGTGGATCTGATTGATCTCATTTATCTATGTAATAATGTGCATTCTTATACACTAACCTTTTCACATATAAAATATTCCGGTTCCCGACTTCTCAGCACATCAACATGAGTAAATACTTCATACAATTTCTCCACCATGTGTGTTATTACTGAGCATGAAACTTGAATTCAAATTAAATTTTAACAAAAAAAAAAAACTCGAAATTAAACCACCGTTTTAAACCACGACACATCTTGCAGTTTCATAGCACAATCTAAATAAGAGTTTAACATGCAATTAAATTTCATTTTAATATTCAAATCAAACTAATTTATAATGATATGTATTTAATATTTTCCCAACCATATTGATATCATAAGTGCCAATCGCAAATGAATTAAAATTCCAATTAAGAATTTTGTCATTGCTCATAGCGGAATTGAAAAGTTGCGGCAAAATGTGCTGGAATTGAAAAATTGAATTAAAATGTGCTGGAATTGAAAAACTGAATTAAAACGGATTCCAATTAACACATAATTATGGCCATCACCACCACACTGTTATCGCATTCTATAATGGCAGAAATAATGACCAGTAGTCAAAATAAGTTTTAAAAGAAAGAGAAAGCAGAGAAAATAGGGATATGTGAAAGAACTGCTCGCCAAAGATTGAGAAGTTCATTCAGTGAGTGATGCTTTATAATAGGATCAGTGAGTGATGGTAAAAAAAAAAGAGTATATATAGGGAAAAAATCGCAAAAACGAAAATTTTCTACAGTGCTAGGTTTGGGTACAAATTGCAAAAAAACTTTTAGAATTAATTTCTGCTTGCAGCTGATTTCGTGTAATTAGTTACTTATTCATGTCTTTTTATTCTTATTTTCTATTTCATTTTATTTTAATCGAGAGTTAGATGAATGATTGAGAAAATTAGCGAAATTCTTTCATAATTGATATGTTTGATTTCCTTTTTATTTTCATTTTTTTTTCTTTGTAATTAATTATTCAATTTTTCTGTGCTAAATGGATTTGTAATTTTTACTTTTGGCTTTTATTTTCGCCAAATATTACAGAGATAAGGAAGAAATATTTACAGAGGTAGTATGTTATTATCGCGGATAAAATTAGCAGCTAAACGGGCCGTTATACGACCGTTTTACAAACGTATTTTTACCGACACCGTACTTGACAAACTATATAGCAGTAAGCTTTAAATTAATTTGCAGCTTAATTTAAACTTAAAAGAAGTTTCAAATATTTTGAAAAAGTGCAATTTTGTGCTTTATCTTAAAGTTATGAAATACATTACATCCTGTTCAAGGTATTGTAATTTCTAAAAGGTTTATAATCAAATTACTCTTTTTTTTTTGTTTTTTTCACTGATTAATTTGTAACTCTTATTGTAGCATTTTTAGTCATATATTTACTAGTTACACTTTATTATTTTCATTTACTACCTGCTAATTATTCTTACGGGGTATTTTTATCACGAATTACTGATATACTAGCTTTATTTCATATTTATTGTATGCATTTCTGCTTTATTCAATTTGTTATGACTACATGTCGAATTTTGTTTTTTTTTGTTATTTCTAAATTATATATGCTTTTTTAAAGTTTAATTTTAATTACCAGCTGTATAGAAATATAATGTATCCAATCAATAGTAACCAATAAGGCATGGTTTTATTCGTTAATACCAATTATTAATTCTATTATTTACTAACAATATTAGCCCAGTTTGTTGTTCTGATTCAAATGTCAATTATTCGATAATAATAATCTAATAATCTGTTATTCACAGCAATTCAATACTTATTTAAATGGAATTCAGTTATTCACTAATCATTCAGTGAGTTCTCATTAGTAACATCCGACGATATGACACAAAACATATTGGTCCTAATAAAAGAGGTGATTGATCTGTACGAGAAGATATGGTAGAATCTGTTAGAATTTTAAAGATATTGTAATTCGGATGTCTTCTAGAAAAATTTCTTAGATGGTAGACATCATTTTTCGTTGTTTTATAATACATTTTTATGCAAAATTAATAAATTCAGAAAACTGATAGTTGTAATATGTGGAAAAAAATACATTCGTCTAAAGTCATATTTTCGAATTTAAGTTTAAAACATTACTAACAGTTGTAAAACTTTAAATGAATATTTCAAAATTGAATAATTATTCAGAATAAAACAATTTCAGGTTCGCAATAATCAATTTCTCTACATTAATAAATGCAAAATAAGACTTCATATGTGTATATATAAGGAAAATTTTTTTTTTTTGTTGCAAATATTTTTATTATAAGAAATTTGAGTAAATTGAGTTTTCAGCCACAGTGGTGGCACTAATTGGTGGAGCATTATGCATAGCATCGGTAGCTTTGGTTAATGTTGTAATGTATTACAAAGTGGTGAAACCGATACGTGAAGCAGATCGTGAACAATTAGAGAAAGATTTAATCAAAGCTGATGAAGAGGGTTTCTCGTTCAAACTTTAAAAGATGAGTTATCTCTTATTTCTTGCTTGTTGTAGGAGAATAGTTTTATTCGGTTTGATTTATTTATGCAGAATTTTTTTTTATGTTTTTCTTGAGAAGTTTTTGAAGAGCAGAATTTTCTCATAGCACCTGCCCAATTGTATATTGAATTTGTGTTACTTTGACGTTTTGTTAAAAGGCTCCAATTTAAAGTTCTTGTTTTTTCAAATTATTAAAATTTTAGTAAACAATTTTTGCACAATTCTAATTTTGGAATTCTTATTACAGATGTTCTATAGTTTTTACAAACACTGAAATAAATTTGAAGTAGAAGAATGCAAAGATAAGATAATTGTTGATATTGAATTTATCTAACAGTTGTTACTGTGTGACTGATTGAGTGTTCATAAAATTGATATTGATCGTTGTTTATGATGATACTGTAATTTTTTATGGAACACATGCTGAATTATATTTTTATTTATGGAATGTAATTTTTAAGTATAGATGATTTTTACATTTTTTATGCAGTATTTCAGTTTTTGGTGATATAATCACAAAGTGGACGTAACCTATACATGAAATTTCTAAAAGAAAGAAGTGCACCATTGATTTGTTCGTCTGATTACATGTTTAATTCATTAACTGATAAGGGTTAATTAATAAATTGGTGCAAAGTTTAATTTGCTGTACTTTAGTGTTTGAGATGTTGAGGTGCAGACAATATGTTATCAGTGAGGAACATGTATACATTTAACTTTGTAGTGATTACTTTAAAAATCGAATGAAAGAATAGAAGCTTTAAAAGTTAAAGCAATCATGGATTGCTCAGTTCTGTAAGCTTAATATCGAATTATATTTAAATAAGGTTGTATTTTTTGTCTTATTTAAGGAAATTATAAACTTGTTTACTTTAGATTATAAATTGATCGGAAATATTAACAGAAATAAGCCTAACGAAATTATTATCTTTCCATTATTGTTCACATTTGATAATTCTATCATTGTATGCTATTAATTTAATAAAACAAATTAATTTCATTTTCTGTAGTTTTTTCTTGCTGTTTTTTTTTTGATTCATGAATCCATATGAAATATCGAAATCAGTGAGCAATTATCTACGATTCAGAAAAAAATGGAACAAACTGTATAGCTTTGTCAATTTTCTAATTTAATTTTATGATAACAAAATTTGACTGTAAATTTTTTTCTTCTGATCAGTTTACCACTTCTTCACCCTTTTTCCTGCCGGTTGTTTAAATTTAAATTAGTTTTTCTCAATAAATGGAAGTTTATCAAAAAAATTCTTCATAATAATCATTCTTATTATGATTGCAAAAATGGTCTGCTATGCACTTTACTACTTTGATAAGATGAATGGGAAATTTTTATAATCCTTTCAATCTCTTATGAAATTTATCTTCAGCTAATTTATTTCAATTGCAACTAAATTTTTTTTCCAGATGTTTTCGTATGGCAAACGTTTCATGCAATTAATTGGACCCGATGTGATTTATTGGTTTCCAGCATGTATATTAATGGGAGCAGCTTTTGAATTGTTTAAAGTATTTTTTTTTTTACAGCTTGCTTTTTTTAGTCTATGAGATATTTTGTTTTTCGGAAATTTTTAATTTTTGATCTCAATTCATTGTTGTTGAAATATTGAAAAATGATCTGCAACTGACCCAAACATTGGTTTTTTCTCTGTAGAAAATCTATAGATAAGGATTTTTTTTTCGTTTTTTTTGAAATTAATTCTGAAAATTTCAACAAACTTATTCTTTGCATGCATTTTTTCTTCACTTTTATTTCAGATAAAGTTCACATTTATGGGTGTGAACTATTATGCGGTATTTAGGAGAAAACAAATGCAACAACAGCTAGAAGATTTAGAGAATTGGCTGAAACAAATGGATGAGCTATCTGCTAAAGCTGTACAATCACAAATTGAAGCGAAGAAAAAAAAATGACTTTTAAAAAGAAATGAAGTAAATCATTTAAATGAATAGGATAATATGAGCATGGATGAATGCAACATGAAGAAATTTTATAGGTTAGATAAGAATAGCTTACAATGAAAATTTCAACATACTTATTGCTTGCAAACATTGAAATATTTCACTCTGATATTGTTCTTGAAATTTTACCGCTTGCGCCGAAAATTATTTCTTTCAAATTGAACTTTTATTAGCACAATTGAAAGTCTTTTTGAACATTTCGAACGAATTTTAATGCACCTAAACTTTTCTGTTTCTCTTACCGGCACTTGTATTGATATGATAACCGGATGGAAAATTTGCATAATGATATTTTTTACTTTTTTTTTGTTATCGTAGATGAAAAGGTTTGTTCATTCTTAATATGCGTTATTAAGTTGGTATTGAACAGTATGCCGGAATTTTGATTTCCACAAAAAGCCTTATTTCAGGTATGAAAATCACAGATTTCCATAAAATACCTAAAATAAGGTTTTTTGAAACCTCGTATATTCGGGCAGTAGTTTGCTTTAAGATTATATGTGTTTCTGTTTAGGAATTTTTTTGAAATATGTTTGAAATAGCCGGTTGTATTCAATTGTAAAAAGTTATCTTTTGCATACGATGGATAGGAAAAATAAATACTGATTTGGTTGAATTTGCGTTCTCTATTAGCCCATTTTTAAAATTTAATTAGAATGAAAGTTTTAAAATTCTTTTAACTATGCAACGAAGATTGAAACGAGGAAAGCGCTAAAGTTTATTATTGCTATTACAATAACAATTAACTGTTATCATTATAGTCAATATTGCTATTATGCTTCATTCCTGATTCGAGAATTTATGAAAACTGAATTTATAAGGATTGATTTATGGAAAAAAAAAGCATCCAATGCTGCTGAAAGAAAATGAACTACAATTTGCATAATCAATAATATGAGCATCAATCATTGTATGATTATGAGCGGATGTGATAGATTTTTCCAAATTATATGTTTACGCGAATATGATGAATTTCATATATAAAATAATGATTTTTAAAAATTAATCAATAAATTTCAATCAGATCTTTCAATAAATTTTTGCTAGGACAATTCAAAGAAAAAAAAGAACAATATTCTCGTATATTTATCATCAGGGGAATTTTATTAATCAATATTATTAATTCAAGTGCAAATAAAAAAAGTTACTTATTAATTTAAGATATCATCAAAACAAATAAATATTAATTATTGTAGAAAAATAGAAATTAATAAGCATTTTAAAAAAGAAAAATAATACAAAGAAGAAAAAGGAAGCAGGAAAAATGAAAAATGACTAGGATGAACTAAGAAAACATGTTGTATTAAGCATAAAATAAAATAAGTAGTACGATAAGTCTTTTCCAATCATTTTAATTTAAATTTGAAATGATAAAATTTGGATTACGACATTCAAATACAATGAGTATATATTTATTCATTCGATTATTTTATATAGCATATTTCCTGATTATAACATGGATCGATTTTTTTTTCTTTTTTTTTGGTTTTTATTATAAAACATTAACGATATTAATTAAACTATCATACGATTTAATCAATAATTCAATTATTAATTAAATCATTATTGGTGAATACGTTAATATATTATACGTTCACCATTTCACACATTAATTTATCAACAATAAAATTTAAATTATTTCTAACCATAAAAATTAACCAATCCTTGCTTTCTCCTCTCTAAAAAAGAAGGAATCATCGAAATTTAAATTTCAATTCATGCATAGATAATAACAATATGTCGCGTATTTTTATCCATTCACTCTTCCTTCTTTCTTTTTTTTCTATTAAATTTTTGTTTTATATAATTTCAGATAATTTTTCTTCCAGAAATTTTCTTTTTCTTTCTCAAAATTTTTATAACAATCTCAAAAAAAAAAAAATTAAAAAAGGAAGAAATTAGAAAAAAAAAAGAATAAATTGATTGCACTTTATTAAATAATATTGGAAGGGGCACATAATTGTTGAAGCTGTTCAAATTGACTATGCAATTGTCGTTGCTTTTGGACTAACTTTTCTTGACGTCCATCTAATTCCACTGAAATTTGTGGCTGATTTCCTAGAAAAAAAAAAATATTGGTTAAAAATATGGGAGAAATTAAATTTTCAATATTTAAGCATCTCTGTGAAAAATATGTTATAAAAGAAAAATTTTAAAAATTATTATATTGACAATTAATTTATCGCATTATTTTTATTATTACAGCATAAAATTATCATTATATTGTAAAAAAAAAATATTGCAAAATTATTGCATTGCTATAAATTTCCTCAATTATATTTCATTTTTAATTTATGAAATTATTATATAGATATTGTTGTAAAATTAACCGGATCATATTCTATGTTTAATTTGGAAAATTATTACCAACATTATCAAATATTATCTATACTTGATATATGGATAATATTTCAAAAAATTGAAATTATCATCAATTTATTTCATTAGACGAATGCGAAACAATTTTTTGACAAAATGAAACATAAATTAATTTATGTTGTTACATCTATTTTGCAAAAATAGTCTATTTTCATAATTAATTAATTAATTAAAATTTTTTTAATCTTTCGCTTATAGCAATAATCACTCCTCCATTTCATAATGGTAGTCGGAAAGAAACGAAATCACACACTGTTTAATGCTCTAACATTGTTGTGAAGGAAATTTCATGAAATTTCACTAATTCATTTAATTTAATTAATAAAAAAAAATTACCTGATTTAAATTTCATAAGTTTATAAATCGATGCTAATTTATTTGTCAATTTATTTCACCAAAAATAGAAATGCAAAAGAGGGAATGGCAGAAAAAGAAATGGCCAAACATCGTGTAGTCGTTTTTGTAAACATCGATGATTTTAAATAAATTTATTAAAATTTTTTCCCTTACTATTAAAAAGCTGCTATTTCTTTTTTGAAATATTTTTTTTTTTGCACTAATTATAATTAAAATTTCACCCTAAAATTTAATTCTTATTTAAAATAGTAATTAATTTAAGAGGGGAGATGAGGATGATGGAAAAAAAAAGAGATATTTTTAAATATTAAATTGAATGGAACAAGCAATTTACACAATATATTCGCCATCTGTTCATCATTTGTCATATTGAACGACATCTGTTCGTTTTTATATTTTTGCGCCACTTATTCAAAATCTAACAATCTTTTCAAGTATTACTTAGAAAAGTAAACTATGAGGCAATTTTTACATTAATCATTTCCTCTCTCAATCTTTGTTAAACAAAATAAACCAAAACAAAAAAAAAAGAAAAGAAAAAGAAAAAGAAATGAATGAATTTCTTGAACAAAAATTTCTTGAATAATAATTAATTAGTAATAGGAAAATGAAAAGTACTGTGTAGGTGTGTGTGTGTGTGTGTGTGTTTGTGTGTGTGTGTGTGT